GTCCGCGTTTCGAAAGATACATTGCCAGGAATGCCACTCGGCCTTATGGTAGCAACAAAAAGTTGCCAATACCAAATGGAAAACGGCGGAAAGGCCTTTCTTACAGTATGTCCCTTAATTTTGTTAAAACTCATGGGTTTTAACGGCGATTTCTAGGTATTTCAGAGTGGCTAACTCCTTTTAAAAAAAAATCATGCCCACAAAGAACTTAAATCTCAGATGAGTGTACAAGATATAAATAATTCGTATCTTGATTAGAATCCATTAAATACAGAACAGTAGGTCAGTAGATCTACCGTGAAGAAAAAGAGCTCTTCGCTATAACCGGAGCCATCAATTAACTGATAACTGGATCACAGCTACTCAACTTCGTGATCACTCTTTACACTGAGAAGTAAATTTATGTATCTTTTTTTTTTAAATCCAAATACGTACAGGTTTAACTTATACCATCACTGGTTATAGAAGGTAACCAATACTTTATATAGTAGTCAACATATTCTAAGAAAATTACAAGATTAAGAACCTTAAAGAATCATGAACTCAACTGTTTTTACAGTTTTTACCCCCGCACTATCAAACTGTTAAATTCTCAGCCTCTCTCACTCTCACCTATGATCTGAACCTCACAGTGCCTTCTTCCTTTCTTTCGTACCAAAAACACAAACACACATTGAAAATCTACCTCTACCATATATGTCAAAAGCTCACTCCCCATAATTTATATCCCTTTATTTTATTCTGTTGATGCATATTTTTGCACATAACCTGTTACCTTTTTGTTGTTTTTTGCACATCGCCTGTTGTTTTTTTTGCACATCGCCTGTTGTCTCCGTCTTTTTTTTGCTACACAACTGTATTGTTGTTGTTGTTTTTTTCCCCTCTTTGTACTACTTATGCCCGAGAGCTAGCCAAATAGCATTTCGTTATACCATATACCATGTATATGAGTGTAATGACAATAAACTTGAACTTGAAGTGTTAAAATAAAGGTGGGGGAAAAAATAGGCTGTAGGCCTTTGTCGAAACACGTTTACACTGATACTTCCATGTTTTACATCATATACTTTTAAATAAATTTGTCATTTGATTAATTCTCAAATGATCAATTCAGATTTGTGTTAGGGAGAAGATACTAGCTTTGAGACTCAACAATGAGCTCAGCCTTGTAAAGTACATCTCCCAGCGCGACAATGATCCAAAACATACTGCTAAAGCCACAGGACAGTGGCTTAAGAACCAAAGAGGTCAATGTTCTGGAGTGGCCCAGTCAAAACCCAGACCTCAGTCTAATAGAGAATCTGCGGCAGGAATTGAAAATGTCCGTTCTCCAATTGTCCCTCCCCAACCTGAAGGAGCTTGAGCAATGTTACAAAAAATGATCAAAAATTGCAGCAGCCAGATGTGCAAAGCCCATAGATGCCTATCCAAGAAGACTCAAGGCTGTAATTTCTGCCAAAGCCGCCTCTACAAAATATTCATTATTATATTCAAAATGCATTATGGCCCTATATTGTAACAGTAAAATGTGGGGGGAAAAGGCCAAGGGGGTACCCACTATAGACTACAAGCCCTTGTCCAAACATTTCCAGAGATACTGCTGTTTCCTGCACAGACAGCTTTTAAACAATAAATCCGAATTTATGTCTGTTGAGATGAACTTTAAAAGACGCTGGTTCTGAGGCCCGGGAATGAGTAGCTCGGTCTTTAAGGTACATCCGACGTGATTCTGAACAATTTTCAATTTCAATTTTCAGTCCTTCGCGAATCTGAACAAACATGGCGATAGAAATCCCAATAAAAACGCGATAAAATAGCATATACTCACTACATCGTTTGTATAAATACAGCAATGAAAGTATATTGCAATTTTGCGCCGAAAGGGTCCCCTGGCGCAGTTCTAGAAAAAAAGGATTTTTTAAAAAAAAAAAAACCGTTTCTACAGTACTTAATTTGGGGAAAAAAAGTATTAATCATGCTCAGTATCGGAAAAAAATATGCACCTGAATTGAACGACACGAAATGTATACTTCGCATTTACAGTGAAATCCATGAGAAACTTTCAGGTCTCTAATTTTTCAACCTTAATGCATTTCTCCGTTTGCATCATACATTAAGAAACGTGCATACAGTAAGTATTGTCTTAAAGGGATGTTGCTTCAAACCCTGTATATAAAAGCACTAAACTTTTACTAAAAAAGCTTCTACGTGATATGAGGTCTGACCATAAACCATTTCTAAAACGGCAAGTTGTTCTAAAAAATTACTATTATGTTAATATTGGGCGACTTAATCTTTCGATAACTAATACTTGGATTTCCGAGAAAAAGGAAGGCGATTACTGCAAGTACATACCAGAAATATTTGAAATTGTTAGCAATTCGGTAAGACAAGGCATACAATACCTGTGAAAACGACCTGTCGACTAACAGTTCTCAAAAGAGTAAATTAGCATAACATATGGAAATGATAACTAGAGAGATAAGGAATGCAGCCTAAGAAAACAAAAAACGCCTAGAAGTTAACCAACTAAAATAGCATAGATAGTGACACTTCTAAAGTCGTGGACTACTACAAATGAGTATAATAAGGCTTTTCAATACTACTTATTTTTACATTCTAGTTTTAATCTTATTGTTATGCTTCCATTAAATTAACTATTCGGCAAACGCAGGTGCCAAGATTTTCCTGTCCATACAATTGTTAAATCAAAATGAATAAAATGCTACGAATTCGAGACGTCGTAAACGCCAGTAGTCAGGGAATGTTTTAAATTGTCACCTATAAATCTTTCCGCACAAAGCCATTTAAAATTTTCTGCGCGCAATGTTAAATTAAAATGTTAATTTTAATTTTAGCAAACGTAAAGGGGCAGAAGTGTGGATCAATCATTAGGGTATTTGTCTCCTGAATAGAAGAGTTCATATCCTAGGGGAGAGACTGTCGTACCCATTCCAAATCATTCTGATCCACGGGACACGCGGTTATTTGCCCCAGGTCGACTAGAAACTTTAAGACAGCACAGGTCTCTTACACGTTACCGCTTAACTGAAACAAATTAACATCACCGCTAAGAGCAACATCACCTGTTTATTTTCTTCCAAGATGTATCAACTGATCGAGTTGTCAAAATAACTGGTAGTCTTTTCCAATTTCTTGCAAAGATTCCGTGCCGAAGACGACGCATTAATGAACAGAGGGCAATCTCATTTGTAATGGGGGTAATTAGTTAAAAGGAGTGCAAGGGAATTTAAGTACAAACGCAAAACATTCAAGATGCGGTTGTTTTTTTCGTGAAAGTACTCTAAATACTGCCCGGTGATAACTAAACATTAGTTGGCAAACACTTTTTAAATGTACTCCAATATAGGGAAAAGGGGAAAAACCTGCCTATGCCGAAAGGTTTCAAATCTGTTTGTTAACCGTATTCACGCCATATGCTTCACTTTTCTAAAGGTCTCATTATCCTTTGAATGTCTATAAAAAAAAACACTTTAAACAATTTGCAAATGTAGGATTAATTTTCTCCCGTTAACAAATTCAAATCCCCACCCACTTAATATGAACTCAAGGCATTCCTGAAAGTGGTGCTGCCTCCACAGTTTTCACCTTCTGTGGATATGCTAATTTCCCATTAAAGAACGCATACAGCCCATTATTGAACGCTTTGTTTCAGGACTACATATAGTTCCGGGGTTTTTGGACTGCTGTAGTTACCGGGCTCATCAGCAGCAAGAGGAGAACGTCGGCTACCAAACTGTGGTGAAAGACTCGATTAAGGATTTATTCCTCGGAGACATGCAGGCCGACAAGGAGAACCTTAGACCAAGCGCACTTTCTGCCAAAACGCAGAAAAGGGAATATGTGCGCATTGTCAAAACCCAGACTTACCTGGGCTTGATCGCTAGCGTCATTCAGCAGTCTCCAACGAGAAGACTGACATTTTTTCAAGTAAAATACACCTCTGTAAAATGCGCTGATTGAACATATACTTTCGGCTATTCAAAGCTTAACATTTATATACTACTTTTTTTTTATAAGATGACTTCAATATTTCTCCAAAGTGAATTTTCTCTGCCCTTTTCCTACAGATAATGAAGACTCTAAAAGGGTTCGTTTTGGGACAAGAGAAAAAACTGGAAAATTGCGTTACTTTGACGTTACTTTGACGTCCAACAAGTGCTTTGTAAAGGTTTGTATACAAGAACTGTTTTTTTTTCTGTGTAGTTTGGGAAATGCATTACATGATGAGGCAAATAAGAAATCTCTCATGCGTAATTTGGGTACTCATTTTAATGTGTCCTTTAATTCACCAGGTCCCCGTCAATCCGGAGAACCCCAAGGGAAAGAAAAGCTTTTGGGAGTTTGACGAAACTCGCATCACCCCAGTACTATTCCGACGTCACTTTAAGGGCTTGGAGGGCACCTTCGCGCATCTGGCTCAGAGAATGAGCAGAGGAGCGAAGGAAAACTCTCCGTCTTCGGCCACTCCAAGCGCTGCCAAGCAGCCGAATACAAAATTTACCGGCTCCTTTTCAATCGAATCCATCTTAAACGAGAAAAGATCTTCCCAGTCGATTGAGAGATGGTGCCCTTTGCCGGGAAGTTTGGAAGTGGTCCGAGGAGGAGCTACAGGGAACATCGACAGGGATGAACAGGTGTTTGGCTTCAGTGAAACCGTCGTGAATTTCCGAGGACGCACGCCGATGGAAACTGAGCCTAGTGATCCGTTTTCCACCAGCGGGCAAGAAAGGCATGGGATCGACTGTATGTACGCAAGATCGGGTTTTACACTGCTACAAGACGACCCTTATGAATGGATATGCTCATCTACTTACCTCCCTTCCCACACCTTTCCACCTACTTTAACAATCAATATGATGAGACCCGGTACTGCTTTGGACTTCAGCAACCAGTTGAGTTACCCTCTGGGCCTGTACAGTTCTGAGACACAATGGGGTCCTCAACACGTTTGGGTCGACCGCGAATATGACGGACTAACGTTTGCAAGCCGCTTGACTCATGAAAGCTAACGCTTGTGTTTGGTAGCGTCCGCATCTTTTTAATAAAAATAAATTAACAAAATCCTACGTTGTTTTGCGTCCTTATGCCCTTTCCGCTTCCATTTACTCGGATACAAAGTAAAACATGCTTATAAAACTTATTTGCAGTTCTGAAGTTTTTCTTAATTGCCGAATATGGAACAAGCTTCCCAGCCATGTGGTAACAATCTACTGACAACCCAAGGAGCAAGATGGGGCGGACGATCTCCCCATTTGTAACTTTATCATACCCATCCGTTTTAATCACGGAGTGGTAGCGATTTCCGACTAGGTAACTCCTTTATGACTCTCGGAAAGAACCAATTTAAACAAATTGAACCGTGTACCAGTTATACGTCTTGATCAGATTTTGTTAACGGTTAACGGTGGGTCAGCATCGCGGCGGCTCAAAAATCAGTAGTTTTGTAGGGGGGAAATCGCCTTATTTCGTTACCTGCTGGATTGTCACCGAGGACAATTCGTACAAAGTTACAGTATGTTATGCTTGTGTATTTAAGTTTTCGAATCAATACAAGTATAGAATTAATATAAAATGTCGGTTATACAAGATGACAATTTTTAAATGCACGAATACCAAGTGCAGAATTATAAAATCCTGAATAAGGTTCTTTACCATCATAACCGCAACTGTTAAAATACAGGTTTGAAGAAACGTAGGCTGTACTCCTCTGTCAAAATACTTTTATATATATATACACACACACACACCATCTCCTACGGGGTACATTTAAACAAATCTGTAATTTGATAAATTCTGAAGGGATCAATTTAAGGCTGTGTTGGGTTGAATAGAAGACATTAGCTTTGAGCTCTGAGGGGTTTCTGTTCTACCTGTGAAAGAGGTCTATCAACCATCCAGTACAGAAAGATGCCAGGTGTCAAAAAATAATTTAAGAGTCGAGTACACAAGGACATTGCAAGCACACTCCACTAATCTCCAACTCCTTTCACCATGGCAACCAGCGGAAACAAACTGAACATGTTTTAGTATTAACTCCCCAAACCCTAAATAAATAAATAACACTCCCTCCCCCACTTTGTCTTTGAGAAGAAACATGAAGGTTGGTTCATAGTCCTCTGAGGACCCTTAACCCTAAACCTTGACCACAGATCTGAAGCCCTGCACTCAGCTCCAGCTGTTGTCCAGCCCTCTGATGACAATTCCTAACAGCTGAGCTCCAGACCACTTCGAGTGAAGGTCACGCACAACCAGGAGACAGCGGTTCTGTGCTGGAGTACCATAGTTATCCACAGAGAGAGCTTCCCCAGTGTTGTTGGCTAAGGCACAGGCAATGAAGAATTTGGAGCAGGGGGCCCAATGATCGTCTGAGGAGGCAAACTGTGCACTTCGTGACCGAGTTCAATGCCCCGATTAATGCCAAGCCACCAAACTGACTCCACAATACCCTTTCAGCTTAAGCCCTTCATGAACCACTGTCAGGACCCGTGTTCCAAGAGCCTCCGGAATCCTAGAAGCAGAATGGGATGACTCCCGTCAATGCACTCCCAGCAGGATAACCCACCTCTTGCGCTGGGATGTGGCAACAAGTCCCCACCCGCCTTGGGGAGCCACCTTCTCCGATCGGTATCAGGAGCTAAACAGACTTTTCCTGTGAAGGTCTATGCAGCAGTTCCATAGAGATGACAAAAGACAGAGGTACTGTATATGAAGGACCTACATTAGCTCATGTTCAGCCCTTAAGACCTGATGGATGTAGAGGCTGCTTCTCTGCGGAGTACGTTCCACATCACTCGCACCAGTACATCTTTGACTTTGAATTTATTTCACTCAAAAATTGCTGCTGGTGAGTGAAGCTGATGCTGCACTGGGTGACTTGGGAACTGAGCAGCAACATCTGGCAAGGGTCTATAATTTCTGCGAGTTCTTACAGCTCTCACCTGCTCAAGTGCATTCAGGCGAAACCGCTGCCTTGTTTATGAAACCAAAACTACTGCAGCATTTAGGACAGAAATGTTTCACTGGTCCGCAGTGGCACAGTCACACCACTAGATGGGGCTATGGGTGCATCTTCTGAAGGAGCACTGTAGCCAGCCGGTTTGCATGCCGGTGTTCCTGCATCTCCAACCTGCCAGCCAATTTCCACCACTCTTGCAAGTGTTAAGGAATGCAGCTCCAATAACGGGTAATCCCAGAGCTGCACACACACACAATTATTTTTCCAATTCTTTTTCCTGATGAGTTGGTCCTGGAGTGCTGTGAATTTACCGTTGAGCACAATCTTTTGCAAAGCTGACACAGGGGGGAACTGCCAGGAGACAAAACGAGGTGTCCGGGAAGCTTACAGACACCGCGTAGGAGTCATCTGCAGGCTGTAGCGTTGAACAGATGCGCTGCTCCTTTGCACCCAGGCAATGAAGGAGAACGGGTCTCTTCCCGGACTTCCTCGCGGTGTCTAAACTGAACGCAAGGAGTCTCAAAGGAAGGACTGGAACAATTGGCTCCAGGAAAGAGCCATCTTGGTGGGAACTGTCAGAAAAGGAGGAGACGGAGGTAAAGAAAGGTCAGCCAATCTCATTGGCAAGTGCTGTGGACAGCAAAAGGACGCAGGACGTGTAAAAACTTAAAACAAAAGAATGCTTTGTTGCTGCAAGCACGTTATACCGACTCCAATATTCACAAACTCCTCTCACCGAGGAAATGAACTGAACGTGCCATGGTACTAAAACGCCAACTCACACAAAACCCTGGAGCACAGAGGACAACGTTGACTGTGAACATGACAGGCAAATAAGCATAATAAAAGAAAGTCCTCATCGGAGGAGGAGATTAGTGAATACCACGGGATAAAAACACAGAAAAAGGTCAATGTCAGCCAATTAAAACAGTACAGATAATACACTTTGCAAAGACAAAGGCTAATGCACCTCAGAGCATAGTGATCGACCATTGTAAAGCCAAAAAAAGGTAAATTTGCTTTCAATTATTTAAAATTAAGTTTACCAAAAATGTTAAGACTATTGTGCATTAAGTTTGTTATATAAATGTAGTTATCAAAATGAATAAAATGCTATGAACTAGAAACCTCAACACCAGTGGCTGGGAAAGTTTTAAGCATCGCATATTATATATTACTTGTGTTATGTTCATCCATCATCTAGCCACTTCGGCCAATACAGAGTCACATGGGAGACAGAGCCTATCCCAGCAGGTACATCTTTGGACTGTGAGAGGAAACCCCAGTAAACACAGGAGAACATACAAACTCCACACAGATAGTTCCCCAGTAAGTGTACCTAGGGCCTAGTGCTGCAAGGAAACATTGCTAACCACTCCGCTTCCCCATTGAACAATATTTGCACCCAAACTACTATAGTAAAATACAACAACAAAAACAATAGCCATAGAAATACTGTAGGTACATGTCAGTCACTTTTCAGCCAATAAAACACTTGATACTTTGACTCCTCAATGTAACCCACTTAATTGTATTTCCATCATTTCTTATAGCAGTGGGATTACATTTCAGACATGTAAAACAGTGTTAATGGAACATCATCATCTTCATTTCTGAAGATCTACAGGATCATTCTGATCTACAGGACACTCAGTTATTAAATGTCTTTGGATACCAACTGACCCCAGATCAACCAGACACTTGGAAACAGGACAGGTCTTGCATGTGACCACTATAACTGACATGTAAACAAGCAGAAGAACAGTACTGGTTTATTTTCTTAACATCCACCAACTATTCAACTGAACAGTCAAAAGAGATGGCCATCAGTACCACCTTCTTGAAAGGTGTAGCGGCGAGGCTTATTAATAAGGCAGAATTAAGTGTTTCTGAGCTTCCCAAATGAGGCCCCATTTCTCTGTTCATCTCTGTGGTGCAGCCACAGAGAGACCATTAGTGCAGGGTGATTTAAGGTCCTAGGACAGCTCCCAAAGGGGGATGCACTTAGCTAAGCCTGGCTATCATGATCAATGGTCATCCATTGGCGCCTATCTGTCTAGGGAGTGCCAGTTGGACATCTGGACTGCATTACTAAGTGTCAGGAGTAAGTGACTCATATCTCACCTTGATCAACCAATCAGGGACTGGTAGGGCCGCGTAACCCACATGGGACTCTGATGCCCATGGAACTTTCAGCCAATCAATGAGCTGAAGTTCCTCCAGGTAAAAACAGGCAACACAGAGAGCCTGTGAGATTCAGAAGGGAAGGGAGGATTCTGTGGACTGTTCTAAAGGGAATTCAAAGGAGAATTCCAGGGCAGGACGGCCCAGGAGCAGAAGGCTCCCAAGGGCAGGACATTCACGCAGCGCGCCTCCTGACCATCCTGAGACTCAGCCCGGACAACCACGGAACGGCCAGTGTGTCTGAGTGCCAGAATTTCCTTTGTTCTAAGAGTCTAGAGTGGAGGTTGCCAGAGAGTAACCAGCAGCAGACCTTGTGAACAGGTCGGAACTGTGGACAGCTGAATCACTATTCAGAACTAGCTCTTCATCAGGAATGAACTGGTCCTCTTCCTGACTTGCTGGGACCCACAGTCATCTTTTCTCCTGTGCACAAACTTTGCTAGTTAAAGCCAACAGTGAGCATCAGCAGCACACCGTTGCAAGCCGCACAGCACAGCCTGGCACCGAGCCAGAGAGTGCGGATTGGACAGCAACAGCCTGCAACTGTTTCTTTGAGCCCACAGGAGATCTGAATCCCCAAAGATTGGATGAGTATTCAACTTCAATGCATTACAGCTCAAGAATTCAATTGTTATCCAAACCAGTTGATATCAATTTAATTCCTAAGAGTTATGTACTTGTTTGAGTATCTAATGTAGAAGTTGTAACCAAGTTCATTTATGAAACAGTCTTAATGAATGATATACTGAACGTATGTCCTCTTGATATGTGTAACTCTTTGTAACTGACCGAATATACCTTTTGTATTCTGATAACCCTCTCGATAAGATCTGTTAGGTTTATATGCATATTCTATGTATTAATAAATGTATCCTCGTGTATTAGTACCTGTGTGTGCGCATTG